GAGCCGAACCTCCACTCCAGGCCGCCGCCGCTGTTGCTTCCGGTTCGCCACCACTCGCTCGGTCGCTCCGCTCGCCGCACCCGCACTGCAGTCTGCATCCCCCTTCCCTTCCCCATGGCCGCCTCGCCTTCCCTCCACGCCCCCCGCCTCCTCCACCTGCTCCCGAAGCCCGCCCCGACTCTCGGCAGGCCCCGGCGGCGGCGCCTCGCGACGGCGCCGGCGTCGGCTGTGCCGCCGTCGAGGAACGGGAGCTCGGCGGGGACGGACTGGTGCCCCGTGCCCCCGGAGCAGCGGCCCGTGAACGAGTACGAGGCGCTGGCCGCGTCGCTGCCCTTCTCCTGGGCGGCGGGGGACCTGCGCCTCTACTGCTCCCGCCTCGCCTTCACGGGGGCCGCCTTCGCGCTCTTCGTCGGCCTCCCCGTCGCCGCCTTCGGCGGCCGCGGGGGCGCCGGCGGCGACGCCCTGCACCTCGCGCTCGGGGCCACCGGCTCCGGCATCCTCGCCGTCACGCTCGCCGTCGTAAGGATGTACCTCGGCTGGGCCTACGTCGGGAACCGCCTGCTCAGCGCCACCGTCGAGTGTGAGCCACCCGCCCGATTTTATATATTCCCCTCTGATCGGCCGGTTTGTAGTGTCTCTGTGCCTGAATTATGTGCGTGATTCCTCGCAGATGAGGAGACGGGATGGTACGACGGGCAGGTGAGATGATACTCATGATCACTCGTTTCTGTGATCTGGTTTTTATTCTGTTAACAACATGCTGACCTGACGACCCTCGGATGCTATGATTGTTCAAGAGCAACTGGCTTTTAGTGAAGTATAATCAGCGGGATGTAAGGGGTTTGAATTGGGGAAGCCACTGGCGGCGCTGAATATAATATAAGTAGCGTGACGCCACCAAAATATCACTGGTTAAGTAATAAGTATATAATTAGCATCACACCATCAAAAGACCACTGAGTAATTGACCGAGATAGCATCACACCACCAAAATATCATTCACAATAGCCGTTCGCTTGCTTATAAGTTATAACTCTGTACCTGAAGTTACTGATGTTCAATATGCACCTAGTGCTGAAGTGTTACCTTCGCTTCTGTATGTTTTTTTGCATGTTTATAATAGAAGCCTTGCATGATGAACTTTGTTGGCAAGACTGGTATAGAAATTCAAAGATGGCATAGCATGGACATTTTCATTGGACGCCAATTATTCAATCATCTCTGAAGCATATACACTTCCGTTTCAGTTTGTTATACCAATTCATCATTTGTATTGATTCATACACTTGATGCACTTTTCTGCTCCAGTTCTAAGGAGGAACAACTTAGTAAGGAAACCCAATTAACTCTTTATTCTACCTTGCACATAAGCTGTGATGTAAACAGTAAACATGAGGGAACTTATTTCGCCCTTGTAGTATTGACACATTCCTCGGATGCCATTAAAACTGGGCTTTTTATTTACTCTAGATAGGTCAAGTTACCCCCTTCACTGATTTCATTATTGATGATGTAAGGGATTTGAACTAGAGAAGCGGCAGTCAGCACCCAATATAATATAAGTAGCATCACACCACCAAAGTATGAAGCTGGATAAGTAATAAAAGTAGCATCATTCCACCAAAAGATCACTGAATAAGAGGCATAAGTAGCATTGCGCCACCAAAAGATCACTAAATAAGAGACGCAAGTAGCATCACACCACCTAAAGATCACCGAGCAAGTGACACAAGTAGCATCACGCCACCAAAAGATCATTCACACTACTTGTTTAATTCCTTATAAGTTACTATAACTGTGTGCCTGAAATTACTGATGTATTCAGTATAACTCTGCCTGAAACTGCTGATGTATTCAGCATAACTCTGTGCCTGAAATTACTGATGTACTACTGAAGTGTTTGTATGCTTATGTATTTTTGTAACTGAAGCCTCGCATAATGGACTTTGTTGCCAACAGTGATATGAAATTCAAAGATGATATACCAAAAACACATGTTCACAGGATGCCAATTAATTAATCATCTCTGAAGAGTACACATTAACTTATAAATGGAGTTTCAGTTATGTTGGTTATGACGGTGCTTCACTTGTTTTGATTCATACACTTCATGCATTTTATGCTGCAACTCTAGCGCGGAGCAATTTAGTAAAGAAACCCAGCTAGCTTTAACAGAAGTTATGATGTAAACATGACGACTTATTTCGCCCGTGTAGTATTTAACCCATTCAGCCGATGCTATTAAAACAGGGCTATTCTTTTTTAGTCTAGATGGGTTAGGTTGCCCCCTTCACTGATTTCATTCTTGATGATGTTGCAGATATTATGCTGACTAGATTAATTTATGCATGGAGATATGAGAAAATAGTGTACATATTCAGCACCAGGCATTGGAATTAGCTGTGGCATCCTGACTCCGTTTCTTACTCTTGGCAGATATGGGTTAAAACCCCAGAAGTTCTAGCTCGTGATCGTCTTCTCGGATCATTTTCTGTAAGTTGACATCATACATGTTAACCTCTGGCATCCTAGTCCACTTTGGTCTGATCGGTTATGTTAACTGTCAAAGTGCTTCTTTTCTGTTGAGATACCTGTCAAGAAGCTAGGGAAATGAATATTGAATGGTGTATGCACATGGCATGAGCTGTGTAATTATTGACAAGAATATACTCGTATAAAGAACCGATTGCCTGGATCTACCTTTTATGGGCGTTATCTGGACCAGTCTGTTTCTAAAATGATGCACACTATTAAACTGCCATGTTCCTATAAAAAAAAGTAGTATTAAACTGTGATAGGCGTGGGCCACTGGGAGCTACTAAATCATGCATTAGGAATCTTTCTGTAGGACTTTGTTTGGTGTAACAGGCTACGCATTATAGCTTTACGAGACTAAGCAATAAGAAACAGTTGGTCTTTACATCATCTCAAGTCTTCTCCCTGATGATGCTGTCTATTTCCAGTATCCCATCTCATTCAAGCGGCGCCGTGCTGGCCACCTTATGTGTAACGCTGACCCCTTCGTGAACCAAGTTTCATGATATTAGTCATACTTGCATTGCATGGTCATGCTGTAAAAGGGGGAAAAAACTAACATGGTAGCACATGCTGCTTCTTCAGGTGAAGCCGGTGCTGAACAGAGTGAAGTTCACCCTGGTGGGCCTGGCGGTGTCGCTGACCCTCTGCATCCTCCTCTACGCCAACACCGAGAAGCCGAGGGAGCCGCTGGAGAACCCCGCCGGCGGGAGGGCCATCCCCGGGGTGTACAGTGACGCCGCCGTGAGGTCGTTCGAGCCCGATGCCTTCTGCGGGGAGCCCGACCTCGGCGGCGGCGACCAGTCGTAACTTTCGACGGTGGTTCTGGTGGAAGGCGATGACAGGATCATCTATCTCATAGCATCCATCCTGTTCATCAGGGTGAAGTGGTGTAAATATCTAGCCGTACATAGCGATAGTCCATACGAAAAATGAAATCCCTTGTATAGTTGTATGTAGCTGTTGGTCCTGTGTATCTTGGTCCGGTTTGGCTGGCGGGGACGTGACAGGCGAGGTGACGGCGACGCCGTTGGGTCATCCGCCAGCGCCAGGAATGTCGTTGACGCGGTTGGGAGCGTTCGCGTCTTGTGTGGCGGGCGTGCTGGCCGCCGAAACCGGGTGGAAGCTGCCTGCCTGAGAAAACGATGCGTCTCCGTCCCACTTGCTGAGAACGTATCTCTCTCTGCGGGCGCTTTTCCGGATCGAATCCAGGGAGGAGTCCATTCCGGAGCTCGGCGTTTCCTCAGGCCGGCAACTCTTCGCCGCCACAGGACCTGGTGCCGGCATAAAATCACCCGTGGACCGTTCCTTTTAAGAAAAACCGGGTATCTCCCCTCAAAAAAAAAAAACCCGGGTATCAGGCACGGACTTGCTAAATTTGTTACGGGCACTCACTTGTCTTATTTAATTTTTTTAAGAGGGGAGGAAAATATCTTATAAGGACCCCAATAGCCAACGGACGTTAATCGGGAAGCATGGCACTTGCGAATGTTTTTCATGACAAGTTCTTCGAAAGCACATGGCAATTTTTTCACGAACACGTGGGAACTTGTGCGCAAAGGGATTTTGCTGCGAAAATGACCATGGCGGGATTGCAGTTATCCGAAGCTGTGGGTGGCCAGCAAAAGTTACGGGCACTCAGTTCGTCGCTGTGACCTAAAGCTCTGAAAACGATAGCCACAGCCTCCAACATCACAAATCCGTCCAGTTCTTCACCGGATACCCGCGGCATGGCGGTATTCCTCGCGAAAGTTGGAGCTCAATGTCGAGCACAACCACTCCCCTAACCATTCGCCACCGCACACGATTTTTCAAGCACAGCTCATAGCCATCCCACCTCCGTTTTTCAGCCAGAAAAACCATTGCATTTATATTTTTTTTTTAAGCAGAGAATTCTACTCCCTCCGTTCCATAATAGAAGGGCGCGTTTTTTAAGCCAGCCTACCTAAAAAAACGCTTTTCTATTATGGAACAGAGGGAAGGTTTTGAAATGTCCGCTTCGAGAAGGCATTGAAAATTAGTACAGAGCCCCGGAAAATCCGAGAAGGGGGAATGTGTCCGTGCCGCTTGGGGTCAAACATGCCGTCGCCGCCGCCCCGGCTGGAATCCAAACCCCTCGCCCTCGGGTCCGTCCACCCCGCAAAACGCCCACGCCCACGCGCAGGCCTCACCAGCACCACCACCTTCCCCCACACGGCAGCCAGAGCCGCGCCAGCGAGGCAGCCGCCGCGCCGGCACAGCACAATCCTTCCCTCCCTCCCTCCCTCGCTAGCTAATCGCCCACCAAATACTCGCTCGCTCCTCCCCTCGCCTCGCCTGCGGCCCATCCCATCCCATTCCGCCCGCGCTTTAACCCGCTGCCGTCGATTAATTAACTAGGCCCACTTGCGCTGCTCTAATTCCGCCAGCGGCAGCGGCAGGGGGCGGAGGAGGATCCGGCGGGGATTGGGATCGGGCGGCGGTCGATGCCGGCTGGCGGGGCATGGCCGGGCGCCGAGCGATGAGGACGGGAGGCACGGGCATGCGGGGGCTCGCCGCCGCGGCGCGCTCCTCGCCCGCGCTCCCCTTCCTGCTGGCGGCCGCCTCGGCCGCCGCGCTCGTCGGGGGCGCCTACTTCTGGGTGGTGGTCGCCTCGTTCCGCCTCCCCGACTCGCAGGCCCTCGGGTGCCGGCCCGACGGCGAGGGCTCCTGGGCCATCGGGGTCTTCTACGGCAGCAGCCCCTTCCACCTCCGCCCCATCGAACTGGTGAGGAGCCTCGAGCCTTCAAGGCTGTGTGTGGTGTGGGTTTTGACTTTCGGGGAGGCGCTGGGGTGCTCACTGCTGTTTTGATTTGGTTCGCGCAGGAAGGGAGGAGCAGCGCCAACGGCTCCGCGTGGCCGGTGGCCAACCCCGTGCTCACCTGCGCCTCCGCCACCGACGCCGGCTACCCCAGCAACTTCGTCGCCGACCCCTTCCTCTACCTGCAGGTACGGTCCGTCAACTCTGCGGAATTGCGCTTTACTTCTGTGTGTACATGTACGGGCATCTCGCGAAATTTGCGGCGTCAGGGCTGCAAATCCTTGATCCTTGAGCTGCTAAACAAGCGAAATTCAGGCTGACTGGGTGGATTTTGGTGGCGGTTGCGGTGTTTCTGAATTCAGCTCCTCTGCAACCGAGGCTTAGCAAGGGCTTGCGGCTCGACTCTCGGATGCTTAGGAGTAGGACAGGATTTGGGAGTGCGATGCCTATCTGGGTAGCTGGATATGGTGTTCTGACGGTTCTATTAGCATGTGGAAGACATTGTATCAACTGTTCTAGTCGGGGATGCAAAATTAACTACCAAGCTTGGTGCGTACTGAATTGCCAGTGCATCATGAACAATTTAACTTGATAACTTTACTTGGGGAGGACTGCAACCTTGTTTATACTGAAACATTGTCTCCATGGCATGATTGAACACTTCAGCTATTAATCCTGTAATTTGATTGTAAAACAGACTAACTACCACTGGAACATGCTTGCATGAAAAAGAATTAGTGTGATTCTGAAATGTATTTTTGAGGAAATTTAGCTTCTGAAATGCTGCTGATTTGGTTGATGGTTTCAGACTTTCATGCACCAAAGTACCAAACAAAAGCACATCGTTAGCGTACTTGTACACTGCATGACAACATAAGTGGATTTGCCCAATTAAATAGTTTTTATAAGGCCCAGAAACACATTTGAGGATATTTGTTTGTGCATTTACCTGTTTTGGTTGATATTTATGTTACACTTCATACAAGACATCTAAATCATGTTTCTTAATACTTTTTGTCAACCTAGAAATGCCATCTTCATGGATTATATGTTTGGACTTATGTTCATAGAAGTATTCTTGAGTTGAGAAAGAACTTCATGCGATTTACCTTCTGCATTCTTTTCTACTTACCATAATATGTTTTGCATTGATATTTTCTGGAATTCTCAACCGGATATTACTTCTTATTCGTCTCTCAGGGCGACACACTGTTTCTTTTCTTTGAAACAAAAACAACTACCTCAATGCATGGTGATATTGGTGTTGCAAGAAGCTTCGATCAAGGTGCAACATGGGAGTTTCTTGGTATTGCTCTAGATGAGGCATGGCACCTGTCCTACCCTTTTGTGTTCAAATATGAGAATGAGGTATATTTTTCACTCTGTATCTGTTACCTGAGAACTAAGTGGCTATTTCTGGAGATGTCGAGGTACTAACTTTCTCTTTTTTCAGATTTATATGATGCCAGAGGGGAACAAAAAGAAGGAGCTTCGACTTTATCGTGCTACTAAATTTCCGCTCGAATGGACATTGGAGAAGGTGCTCATCAACAAACCACTTATTGACGCCTCATTAGTCCAATATGAGGATAACTGGTGGCTCTTTGCCTCGGATTTTACACGGTATGGAACTGAGAAGAATGCAGAGCTTGAGATTTGGTACAGTAGCTCTCCTCTTGGTCCTTGGAAAGAGCACAGGCAGAACCCTATTTACAAAGCTGACAAAAGTTTGGGAGCTCGAAATGGTGGAAGGCTCTTCATGTTTGAAGGGTCGTTGTATCGTCCAGGTCAGGATTGCAGCGGAACCTATGGACGGAAGGTTAAGTTGTACAAAGTTGAAAAGCTAAGCAAGGAAGAATACAAAGAGGTGCCAGTAGAACTTGGGATTGAAGAGCCAAAGAAGGGGAGAAATGCCTGGAATGGTATGAGGTACCATCACTTGGACGCGCAGCAACTTGACTCTGGTAGATGGATAGCTGTAATGGATGGTGACCGCGTTCCTTCAGGCGATTCAACGCGAAGGTCCATCTCTGGTTACCTGGGTTTCTTGCTAGCCATAGTTCTGGTCACTTTTGTGGGGTTTGTGAAAGGTGCAATCAATTGCTACATCCCTCCGAGTTTCTGGGCTGCCCCGGCAAGGAGAAATGAATTGTCCCGTATCTTGCCTGTCTACCGCTTCAACCAGAAAGTCCGCAGATATTCTACCAGCCTTGGCAGATACATCACAGCCACCAAAGCAAGGCTCAATGAGAAAACATGGTCCAACAAGCTCTTCTTCTGCGTGATTGCTCTATTAGGGACCGTGAACGTCTGCATCGCTGTGCACTTCCTACTTGGTGGTAATGGCACGGAAGAGGCATACACACATCAAGGTCAGCGCTCTCAGTTCACGTTGGTCACCATGACATATGAAGCTCGGCTCTGGAACTTGAAAATGTTCGTCGAACACTACTCCAGATGCGAGTCGGTCAGGGAGATAGTTGTCGTCTGGAACAAAGGCAACCCTCCTGGCAGTGACGCCTTCGACTCCACGGTGCCTGTCAGGATACGAGTGGAGGAGCTCAACTCTCTCAACAACAGGTTCAGAGTCGACCCTCTGATAAAGACCCGGGCCGTCCTCGAGCTGGACGACGACATCATGATGACCTGCAGCGACGTAGAGAAAGGGTTCAAGGTGTGGAGGGAGCACCCCGAGCAGATGGTCGGCTTCTACCCACGGATGATCGACGGCGACCCTCCGCAGTACAGGAACGAGCGGTATGCCAGGGGCAAGAAGGGCTACAACCTGATCCTCACAGGTGCCGCATTCATGGACAGTGAGTTTGCTTTCAAGAGGTACTGGAGCGAGGAGGCCAAGGAAGGGAGGGACTACGTGCACAAGAACTTCAACTGTGAGGACCTGCTGATGAACTTCATGTACGCGAACGCGAGCTCCGGTGCCGGGGGGAGGACGGTGGAGTACGTGCACCCGGCGTGGGCCATCGACACCTCCAAGCTCTCCTCCGTCGCCATCAGCCGCGACACCCAGAAGCACTACGACGTGAGGACCAAGTGCCTGGCCAAGTTCTCCTCCATATACGGCCCTCTGCCACAGAAATGGGAGTTCGGCAGGCGACAAGATGGCTGGGACAAATAGCCCGGGCTCTGGACAGTGGGGGCGGGAGATAGTACACAACCAACAGATGCAAATGCTTAGAACTTTTTTTGTTGTTGGTCCCGTGGGAAGTTTTGCAGCACGGGACGGAAATGCTATAACCTGCTTGGTAGAAGTGTCTATTAGATTTTGGCTAGAAGCCTAGATTGCAGTAGATCAAGATCTCTTCAGTGTCTGGTTCAATGCTCAAAATAGGCCAACTGCAATGCGCTAAGATTCGATTGGGTCGTATGCTTGTCCTTCTTTTCTCATAGATATTCTTTTTGCACTTTGTTTCTCCAATTGTAAATGGTGTGGTTTTGCTTATCAAACTAGAGTGCAAGGAATTCATCTTAGATGTTTCAGAATTTTGTTCACGTCACTAGAGTGGACTGCAGTGGCAGGAGAAATTCTAACGTTTTGTGGCGTGCGATAGCGAGACTGGCGGGAAAGTACCCGGTGCTCCCAGCCTTTGGGTACTCCCGGTGCTCCAATGTTAAAAAATGTTTTTAAATATTTCAAAGAATTCTGGAAAAAAATGAGAATGATCACAAGGAATGTTACCACATCCCCTAAAAATTTCAGGTCCAAAATCGAAATGTACATTCAGTAACAAAAAAGAGAAATCCAGATCTAAATAGTATCAATGTTGCTTTTGTCTCTTCTTTACACTATTCATGCTAGATTTTATATTTTTGTTTCTCAATGTGTGTTTCGAATTTGGACTTGAAATTTGGAGGGCTTGTAGTCATATTCATTATGAACATTCACAATTTTTTTTTTAAAAAAATGAAATATTAAAAAAATGTTTTTTGACATTAGAGTACCGGGAGTACCCAAGACTGGGAGCACTGGATACTTTCCCCGAGACTGGCCTAGCCGGTTGGTAGAAGTCCAAGCTTTGCCCGTCTAACTAAAATTTCACTGGACAGATTGCATGGAAGCTACCAAAGCAAACCAACCCTAAAATTGCTGAATTCTCATAGAAAGTACGACCCTACAACTATCAGCAGATGAACAAACATGAGACAGAGTTCCGTTTTTTCCCTTCTCAAGTCGCTAATTTACCTAATCTTCGAACATGAAACGACTAGAGAGCACCGAACAAACATTTGAGTTACACAACAGGAGGCGACTGGTCTAGCTGAGGATGCGACTGCAGCTTTTTGTTTGCGCATCCAACTTATTTCTTCCTTCCGCGGGTTGACTTCGTCTTCTTGCTAGCAGCTGCACTGGCTGGTTTCTCTGCAGTTTCCTGCGATTCATACCATACAGAAATTCAAGTGGTGAAATGTTGTCATGCAGAAAAGATATAGTACTACCCCAGCAGGGCAAATGTGTTATTGTTAGTGCACAATTCAACACTAAACACAATCTATAGGAGCCCCCGAGGGAAAATCGTCTAGAATTATTACAGCACTAGTTTTCAAAATATAGCTTCTGCTATTTGTATCTACCCGGCTGCTTATTCATTTGAAAATACTGTTGGGAAATGTGCATCTGTCTTGTGGTGATGTTGATATCAGGCGTGTTGCACAATGGAATCATCTACAGTTCAAACTAGGGCAGGTAGCCTGGTGGTGAATTGGTGATGTCTAGCACTACCCAAATAGTGGTACGAATATCAGATACACACTAGGCCAAAGTTTGGGTTGCATATGATGCTAGAAAATGATGTTTCCAGACAAGGCCAAGGATTACATATATAAGCACTATAACATGAAGTGGCATTTTGGTGGATGTATGTACCTTCCGCTTCAATGGCACTGATGTGCTAACAGTTGGCTTGAAAAATGACTCGAGCCTGATTAAATCAAGTCAACAATTATTACAGTATGATGATCTATGATCAAGTTCAAGTGCTAAGAAAGTGACTATGCACACATGTATTATTCTTAAGAACCATGTATGTGAATATATAATGCTCACCTTCCTTGGGATGATTTATTCTTCGCCGATTTAATCTTCTCTATGGCCTACATGAAACCCACGACATATGGTTGATAAAAATGTTTAAATAACTGGAACAGAGAGAGACAAGAAAAATGCATGCCTTTGTCACACGATCTTGATTGAAACCATTTTCTTTCACCAGAAAGTTCACGAGGCCCTGGGGAAAGATTAGAAGTAATGGGTATTTTCAATTGTTCACTTCCTGTTCACGAGGCAAGTAACAAGGACAGTAGGACATACCTCCTCATCAGGTGCAGTCCATTTGAGCTCGGGAATATCCAGTGTTACATCGGGTTCCTTGAACATGCGCCGAGCTTCTTGATAAGGCCAGTCCTCAGGAATTTGATATCTACAGTAGACAATGGACACATGCGAAGAAATTAAAAACCAACACAAACCAGAATTTCACTGGCCAAGAGGTGCATGACTTTAAAGCGGATAAATCTTGGGCCACTGTGCTACACAACTGACATGTTGGATTCAGCTGAGCACTAAGTCAATAGAAAAACCTTCAAAATGGATAAGGACTAACTTGTCTTTATTAATATTTTCCAGAATGCCCTCAATGGACCCGTGCTGACGAATGAGCTTCAGAGCTGTAAGACCACCAATGCCTAGTGGACAAGATTCCATACAGTTAGAAAACTTCTCTGCTAGCTACATAATTTGATAAATGTGGACTACAAAATGAAAGCGAAAGAGTAAGCAATGATACCTTTAATGCTATCACAGTAGTCACATCCACAGAGGATGCACAAGTCAATGAATTGGTCCATAGTGAATTCAAGCTCCTCAAGAATCTGCAGTATGAAATTTGGTTAAGTGTATACAAGATAAGGATGAAACTTATGCTCAACATAATACTGCATACTTTCGCAACTTCAAATTCCATAACAGGTATTTTCCTGGAACTTGGATCCATCAAATGACGAACAAACCGTGTAGCTCCAAAAGTAAGTGAGTCCATATCTTCGGATGCAACAGCATACACCTACAAAATAAACTGTACTAAATAAAAATGGAAGCAGAGGGTGAAAACAAGAAGGTAGTGGAAGTCCACTATGTTAATATTACCTTGTCATTCTTGCAAAGGGCAGCACATTGTGATTCTGCTTCACAAGGAGCCTATTGGTACAGGAGAGGGAACTTTAAGTGAAATTAACAGCATCACAAACACACAATAAATCATAAACTATATGCTGATAGAAAGCGAATTTACCAATTCCACATAAAAACATGATTATATATGTTAATGTGTACCCTGTAAAATATGTATGGCAGTGAGCAAAACTGAATTTACCTCCACAACAGGAACACCCATCAGTCTTAGTAGACGCTTACAATCATCATTGTGCTGCTTCGTGACCTGCTCATAAAGGACATGGAAAGATGTAAAGCTAGAATTTACTCTGAGAACTAATTCATCGCATATATTACATAACATCACTTTATGCAAAAAAAAGGTACAAAAGTTCAGTTGATACTTGCTCAGTGAAGGAACCAGTTGGCTCCTAGCACAATGCAAATCGTCTTACATTAAGGAGATTACGAGTGATGAAAAATTTCAAGACTCTTTATCACAAACAACTGAAAATAGTAATTTCTCACCTTTACAGTTCTCTTGCTGAATTTTTCAATTGCATCCGTATCTCCTGCCTAGAACAACAAAATGCATTTCGCATAGGGGGTCAAAAGAGAGAGCATAGAAGAACAGCGTGGATAAAAAACTGATCAAAGCAACGTCAGCAAACCTCTACTGCCTTCGTCAGCCCTTCTGTTGCTTCATTCCTCTTTGCGTGTCTGACAAGTATTCCAGGTTAGCATTGTATAACCTAAAAAGTAGTGAAGGCAAACATATAAAGTGTGCTAGGAAACAACCAAAGGATAAATAACCTTTTTAAAAGCTCGTCCTTCTTCATTTCAGGAGGCTTGCCATCAAAAACATATCTGCATGAGCAATGTTGTGATCCCATTAAAAATAGACTGATATTTTCACATGTAATTATATGAAAAATTTCTGATATTAAGAAATGAAAGAATTTGGATTACACTGGTTTAATTCCTGCCTCGAGCAACCTTATTGTCCGGCTGAACATGCCTTGCAAATGACTGTCCAAGAAAAAGAAAGAACCGCATGAACATACATACTAGGACTATAAACTTTGAGCAGTACTTCAAGTCAAATAATATTAAGTATGGTTGGAGAGAGAGAAAGAGATCTAAACCTGGTGACATCGCCGGCTTCGTTTGTAAGGGTTTCCATCCCTGTCCTTCCAACTACAATCTGTACAAGGGAAAGCATAAGAAACATATCCCACCTTTCATCGCGTTAGGTAATAAAAGGGTTTGCTATTATCTCACAACTGCTTGTTAACATCCACACAGAAGACAGTTCATCGGTGCAACTTCAAATTTTTCCTTCCTTTATGTTGTAAATAAGAGAAAACATCCTATGCTAGAGGCAATCAGCTCATTGTTAATCAACCCAGCCAAAGTAAGAACACGCAACTTATATGCCCAAGGGGTGGGTGAAAATTTGGCAGCCTACTGCAACAATCTTCTAAGAGTATAAAATGGGAAATATTCCAGCACTGGGCAACCAGTATCACAAAACTGCCACCACACGAGGGTCTACAAAAGCATAAACCCAGCCTAAGAGAGCAAATCTGCTATAGGCCCAATCGTAGAATGCACGTAGAGTCAGCGACCAGCCGCATATAGAGATGGACTCTTCAGCACAAAACTGGCCGAGGTCACTGTCGTGCAAGCACAATACTACATAGAAACAAACAGTAAATGGAGGAGAGGCCATGCGGGTCAGGGGAGAATGGGGGCTATACGAGGAACTGGTAGATGCACATGCTGGCGTCGACGGCGATGCGGCGGCCGAAGTAGCTCTCGAACTTCTGCTCCCTCATCGACTTGGGCGCGTTGTCCGCCAGCAGCTTCGTCAAACCCTACAGCCACGCACAAAATGAATCGCCTCTCCATTCGAATGTGACGGGGAAAACCGCCCCCGAATCCACAGGATACGATACTCAAAATCCACAAGGAGAGGAGGAGGCTCAGGCAGCCGGTCACGACGCGACGCGCTCACCTTGACTCCCATCTCGCCGGCGACGGTGGCAGGCGGCGCGCGAAGGCGGCGGGGGCGGGGCGGGGAGAGGGGGGGAGAAGAGGCCGCGGGCTATTTTCAGTTTTTTTTTCTCTTTTCCTTTCCGCCCCCCGGTCTTTGTATTCTGGGAGCGCCGTGGTACATATGGGCCGGGCCGGGCCGGGCGGGCGGGCTCAGATAGCAGAGCGTCCAGGCCCAGGGAAGCCACCCCTAATCTCGAACAGCACCCAAAGCAGAGCCGCCGGGGAGGCTGCGGCGAGCTGCCGGAGGGAGGGAAGGGGAGATGGCGAGCCGGCTGTGGAGGTGGTACGCGGACCGGCAGTTCCACAAGTGGGAGAAGACGGTGCTGTGGGACATGGTGGAGCCCTACCGCCCGCCGCGCTCCTTCGCGCCGCTCGTCGGCACCTACGTCGCCGCCTTCTACACCGCCATCGTCGGCGCCGCCGTCACCGAGCAGCTCTACAAGGTCAGGCCACTCGCTCTCGGACCGACGCCGGGGCCTCCTCGGACGTCGCTCCCTCTTCCTGTCTGCGCGCTCGCTCACTCGCGCGGTAGATGCTCGACGAAATGCCTACTTGCTCAGGATAGCACAGCTCGCATCATAAAATTATCCATCTCCTGGCATGGCATCGTTTGCATTCCTTATTTACTGGCCAGATTCCACTGATCTCCTACGGTGATATGTGGCTTCAAATTTAGGAATTCATTTGAAAATCGAAGGATCGCAATTATGATACTGCATTGGAGAGGCTTGGTTTTGTGTGCTTACATCGCCTCTGGAGTTCACCTGATTGTGTGTTGCTGTTGTATTTTTGGAGCAGGAGAAGTACTGGGAGGATCACCCGGGCGAGGCGGTGCCGATCATGCCGCCCATGTTCTACTGGGGGCCATGGAGGGTGGTGAACGGAGAGGTTCCCCGCTTCATCCAGACGCCCGAGGAAGCTAAGCCGGCATAGAACTGCTTGGAGATCGCTGGGGATGCTGTGAAATGTTTGCTGTTCACTGTCTGCTGTGTAGCTATGGCATTCCTGCATTTCTTGCAATTTGCATTCTGGTGATTGCGCACTGCCGTGAATCATAATGGTCTTTCTATGTATCCTTGTTTGCACAAATAAATTGATATTTCTATCACGGAGCAGATTGTTTGCATTTTATCGATTTGATGATCTTCCAAGCGAAATAGATAGCGCTGGGATGCTCTCATTTTGCATCATCTAAAACAAAGGTTCCAGTCATTGCCAGCGTGCAGCCAACGATAGGCAGTGCCATGAGACCTAATATACAAAGTAAACTGAAACGGAGGGAATATGCAGCACCGGAACAGCCACGAGCACACCACCATAAGGCCAAGGCCAACTCCACCGCGTGACCCATCCGGTCCGAATTTGTCTGTTTGGGATAAAATACGACCCAACGGTAATACCCAAACAGACAAAGTTGTCTTTTGGACACTTTTTTTGTCCTGCCCAACCCCAAACCTGGAGCAAATTTGGTCCAAGAATGCTCCCGAACGGACAGAAAACGGACGCTCTACAGTTTGGGGTCCCAGAGGCCTTCTGCGCGTTGGGTGCAGATGCCTCATACGTCTGTCCGCCCCCGGACGTCCGCCAAATCGCACCCCAAACGGACAAAAGCGGGCGTCCGGATGGGTCACGCGGTGGAGTTGGCCTAAAAACACAAGGACACAGGCAAATTGCAGTTATCAAAAGAAGCACTTCGATAACACCAGGCGTTGCCCAGTTAACATTCAAAGCCCCAAATGCTTGTCTTGTCAGAATCTATCTGAGTTTTGACCCAAAATGAAAGAGCTCTAAATCTAGTTAAGGCTACATCAGCACTGAAGCATGAGTTTTTCACAAACCAAAATAGGTGCCAGCTTTGCACCTCTCACTTCGATAGGGAGGGGAATCTCTATTCATGTATAGACCGGGGGGAGTTAAGTTTGTCATGTCTTTAACCAAAAACAGGCAAATGAGACATCATGCCGCACTGTCCTCAGAAGCCCATTCCGCTCATGTCCGGCATGCGACTGGCAATTCTGGCTTTTGTCGACGGGAGCTCAGCGACTGCAGCCTCTGTGGTTGTCATCAGCAGAGAAACGCTGTACCAGAAACACAGATTGTCAGACAAGTTTAATTGTTTCTGTCAGTCGTACAAAGGTAGGAGTACATGGTTCGAGAACTTGAGCTGTACCTTGCTGCATCTTGAAGTGCAGTTCGAATCACCTTCACGGGGTCGATGATACCAGCCTTGATCATGTCAACATACTCCCCTGCAGTAGGCAAAACGCAAGAATCAATTACTGAACCGCTAGAGAATATTATTCTGCTGGAGAAATATCAGGATTGCCATTTTTACTGCAATTAAGAATCGACAGCTGAAGTACGGTTAATTTGCGCAGACCTTTTGCTGCGTCATAGCCCAGACTAAGATTATCTTGTTCCAGTAGCTTCCCAATAACTATGGCACCATCGATGCCGGCATTTGCAGCTATGGTCATCAAAGGGGCCTGCAGAAATTACGGAATAATTCATGTACGTCCCGATATGGAATAACCAAGTGCATGAAGTGCAGAAGAGCATCATAATCAGCACAAGAAGTAACCTTCAAAGCATTCTTGATAATCTGAACTCCAATCTTTTCATCCTCATGCGATGTGCTAATATTGTCGAGCTCCTTGGTGGCATATAAAAGTGCAACTCCACCACCTGTTAGGCATGACGTTAATTGGGAACACATACAACATAAAATCAGGTTGCGGAAACAAAGTAATAAGAAATAGTGTAGAAATGCCGTACAAGCTGCTCAAGAAAAATGCGATTACCTGGAACAATACCCTCCTCCACAGCAGCCCTTGCAGCATTTAGAGCATCTGTTACCCTGTCTTTTTTCTCACCAACTTCAGCTTCACTAGCTCCACCAATCTGCAAAATAAATGTGTATGCTGAGACGAGCACACAAAACAAGGGACCTTACACCATACTTAGAAACTAACAAACCTTAAGAATAGCAACGCCTCCAGATAATTTTGATAAACGCTCTTGAGCCTTTTCTTTGTCGAACATGGAGGTGCTGTTCTCAAGTGATTCTCTAAGCTGTGAAGGGCATCCACATGACAAAAATTGTGACTTGTACTGAAAGAATTACCTGAACCAGTATCCAGATAGCTTAACTTGAGACAAAGAGTCAAATGTGATGATTCTTAGAGTACCTGTTGACACCTCTCTTCTATCTGTTGCCTTTCACCTCCACCATCTAGAATGATAGTGTCATCAAGAGATACAGTAACCTGTGAAGAAAATGTCACTGTATGGTTCTTTTTCTTCAAATTAATGTTACTATATTGCTCTCAAGTAAAATAATTTGTGGAAGTTGACAAACCTTCTTAGCTGTGCCGAGCATTTGTAGTTCAACTTTATCAAGATCAAGACCTTGATCCTCGCTAATAACCTTGACATTAAAATGAAATATCAAGTCAAATTCATTCATAGTAATGTCAGTCATGAGTCATGTTAACCAACTTGATTGTTCTCATAACAACTAACCTGCCCTCCTGTTAAAACAGCCATATCATCCAGATTGGCCCTTCTGTTTTCACCAAATCCAGGAGCTTTGACAGCACATATCTACAGCCAAGGCCTCAAAATTAGTTCAGAATTTTTCTTAAATAAGCTTCTCTGTGACAACAATCCAGAGTAGCTTGAGCCTAGTGAAGGAAATAGACAACATAGACAAAAGGAAAAACAAACTGAAAAGGCTTACTTCAATAAAGAGTGCACACTGCCAACCATCTTATACGAGTACAGAAGTATGACAGAAGTAAGAACTAAAGAAATGATTCATAATACCTTGAGTCCAGCACGATGCTTGTTCAGTACAAGCATTGATAGAGCTTCTCCATCTACATCCTCAGCAAAAATGAGAAGAGGTCTGCGGTTCTACATAGATCAATCATGATTTATCAGTTGCCACCAAATTTCCATCATGGGATCAACAAAAGCAAGCACCGAACTTAATGGAGTTACCTGGATAGAAATTTGCACTGCTGGAAGAAGTGAATTCATGTTTGAGATTTTCTTGTCATGAATAAGAATCAGAGGATCTTTCAACTCCTGCACATGAAAAAAGGATAAATCAGAAACATGGGTTCAGTTCAGATCATTCGTATAAAATCTTCATTGTCTATTGATATGCATGGTATCCCTCTCATCTTTGTTTTCTATTTGCTCTTATCAAATATGTGACATGCCTACTGCCTACAACAATCTCTGCAGACAGATACCAAACAATTGTAATTCAAGTTTACAAGAGAAAACACAAGCAGCATGCGTCATTGTAGTAGTCTATTTAAGATTACATTGAAGAAACTGTAAACAAAGAGGAAATAGACCACAGCCATTGACTTCCCAAGTACAATCTCCGCCCCGAATTACTTGTCTTAGATTTGTCTACATACGGATGTATCTAACACTAATACATCCGTATCTAGACAAATCTAAGACAAGTAATTTGGGACGGAGGGAGTACTACTGATAAGTTCCCACCTACATGCATATTGCCATGGAAAAGTTAAAACAAAAGGAGGATTTGAAGAAATCCCTTGCAGACAGTAAACGTGCTGAATTTGTCAGTATAGAAAAGAAGAAAAGATAATAAAGACTCACACATTTCTGAGTCTTGTGATCAGTTACAAAGTAAGGGGATATGTAGCCTCTAGTCAACTTCATTCCCTGGACTGCTTCAAGCTCATTATCCAATGTTTTGCCATCCTGCCAATTTGTAAGAATTAGTAGCAGAATACCAGATAAACCAAATATAGTAGCAAAAACAGCTGGTAGCACTCACAGCAATAGTAATGACGCCATCCTTTCCAACTATTCCCATAGCTTTTGATATCAGATCTCCAATTTCCTTTTCGCCATTTGCAGAAATTGTAGCTACCTGGTTTACAAGACAAAAATGAGGTGGGTATGTCTAGGCCAGGTTTTGAATTGAAGTACAAACAAAGAATGTTAAGTTACTATGTAGTGTGTCTAGTAATGAATCATAATGATGATTTTTTATTACCCATGGCAGATACAAGTAATAACTACATCAAAGATACATAAGCACACATAACAGGCCACCGCAGCAAATGAGAGTATCTTACCTGGTTTATTTCATCTGGGGAATCAATCATCCATGCTTTACTTTTGAGGTGAGCAGTGACGGCGCTTATAGCCTTGTTTATGCCTTTCCGCAAATCCATAACATTGACCCCTGCTGCCACAGCCTTGCATCCTTCCGTGAGAATTGCCTGTGTAAGCACAGTTGCACAAGTGGTACCTGTTGCCCCACACGATCAGAAACAAAGTAAACGACATGCGATGCTCCATTCACATAAATAGGCAAGTAGTTCCCTACCCTCATATCTTGACGAAAGGACAAGGCATTTGCACAGAGACCACACACATGAGAAGTTCCTACTCTTTATAGCATGTTGCTTCAGATTAAATGCCAACTATTTCTTATCTCACTTATGGCAAAACAACGAGTAACAATGTTTGGAAACGAATCCCACGTTTTCCTAAAGAACGGTACAGTGTGATTGCATGTCTGAAAACTAAATGATTTCTTCAAGAATGCCTAGGTTAAAATTAGTTGATCCATCAGTAGAAATCAAATTGTGAGAACTAGTGCAGATCACAAAATATGGGGTTAGTTACTCCACTGCATGAGGAATAAAATATGGCAAGTATCAAATCACAATGTAATCTAGGCGACTAGGCCTAACCTAGAAGTACGTCAAATCATGTAGAGATCATAGTGATCAGAACTAGTGCACTGGATCTGAAGGTAGGGCCTGGAGGCACACCACACAGGTGAGGCACAAAAATAATACAAACCACAAAGCTATTGCTATTCATCTGTCGTGGGAGTACTGCAGGCACGAATGACTGAACATCACATTGCAGTA